TATGTACGGAGACTTAATGCGCTGTTGTGTTCTCGTTCGCTTCATTCTGGTAAAACATTGCTGCATGTAAGATAGATTGGATTTTAACATTGCTTAACAACTCAAATTAAATCCAAGAGGGAAAGTTTGAGTTTGACTCAACAGCTTGTGTTCAGTGGCACAGGGAAAAGGCACACAGGGAAATAAGTCCCCTTCCCCAAAGTTTTTCCCTAGTCAGGACCAGAACCCAAGTGAGCTTGCCTGGGCACTCTGTGCACACAACTTCCTTCTTCCCTGGTTAAGATGAAGAAGAATCCCAGGTCCTGCACAGCACACAGAAATGCAGTTGCAGTGACTAGCTGTGTTATGTACACAAATGAAAACCTGACCAGATCTCAGCACAAAAAGTGTTGCCAGAACATTTCTGAGTGGGGTGGTCAAAGACTGAATAGCCTCTTGTAGGGTTTGCAAGTAACACAGTAATGCTGGTGAGGAACAAGAGACACAACACAATATGGTACCAAGACAGGTAGGATCCTTGCCCTACGTACTGCTGATGCGGTCAATAGAGCCCATTGCTTCAGCATTTAACCTTTGAGTGGGAATGCTGGAATATGAAGCTGCTGTGAAGTTTGCGGAAAGAGCTGGGGCAGCCAGGGAGAGGGGTTGTTTGAGATCCACAAGATGGAGCTACGGTGTGTTTTGTGCAGGTGTTTCAGCGGGCATTTTCCTCTGTAGGCTGTGCTCAGAATGGGATCTGGGAAGCCAGCTCAGAACCCAACCTAACCATTCTCTGGATTTCCAGGGCTGTTTTCTCTGAAATAATTTGTTAATCTTTTCCAGAGAAGCAGTGTTGGGAATCATTTGTTCTTTACAAGAGGAAAACCTGACAGAATTAAGGCTGTTAATTCTCTTTTCAACCTTCCCTTCAGTAGTCTTGAAATATGGAGAAGGCTGTTAAGAGGAAAAGGGAGATGTTCTGTATGTCTCCTGGGGAAAACGCAAGAAGATATAGCCTATATGCTAGGAAACATTTTGAATGATTAGGTCTGCGGAAATGGATGGTGAGGAGAGTATGGAACCTTATCACTTTAAGTTTCTAAGAAGAGGTTAGACCAACCTCCACCAGGTTAAATCAGGCTGAGTTGGTCCAACCTTGAGATCAAGTGATAGACTAGTTGACATCTCCAAATGTCTACCATCTCCATTTTCTCTTTTTCTGAGAAGAATGACACAAACTCGGAGTCTTTTATTGACATACCCCGCCTCCCAACCAAGGTAGTTAAATGGAGTCAAACCAGGTGGTGGAATAAAGCACACCAAATGAACATATTTCAGATTAGTGCAAGAAACTCAGAAGAGCAATTGTTATGCAGTGGAATTTAGGAATTTTATGTTTTACCCTGGCAAGTTAGACTGAAGTCAAAAAAAGATCTTTGCACCCTGATGTCACTCATCAGAGGTGTTTTGGAGAAGCCCTCAAAAAGCAGAATTTGACCTACAAATCAAACTTCAAATGAGACCTCATCTGGTCTGAGTCCTCCCATGCCAGCCAAACCTGGCCAAACCCTGGCTGAGGAAACAAGTTTACTGAATTTCTTAGTGACGAGAACCCCACAATTATGTTATAGTTATTCTAAAACAAATAATTTGCTTGTAATTACAGAAATAATGACATTCTGACCACACCTACCGATTAGAAAGTTGTAATAAAGAGCAATAAAACAGCTTTTCCTTGGGCTGCAGAATCCACCCCCACACAGCCTGCAACACTAATACGATTTACTCCTATTTGCTGATGGCGGATTCTAGTAATAAAATTTAATGTGGAGGAACAAGGTGCATTTAACCAAAGCTGTAAACACCTCTAATTCTATTTAAAGCTATAGGGTGCAGTACATTAACATTTAACAATCTGATACTAAACTGATGTGAAGCTAATAGAGCTGTATTTGTTAAAATTTCAGCAGTAGGCCATGTTTTACCAATGACAACAGGAGGAGTAACCAAAATAGTATGACTCAGCAGACTCCCGCTGCTGCTTAATAAGGTGTTAAGAGTCTTCATGGGAGCTCCTGTCATAAATGAACAGTGGACCACATTCAGCTCTGCTGCTGTTCTGCTGAAGTCAGGGGGAATTAGGCCAGAGATTATTCTGCATTTCTCCCACTAAAGCACATTATACTCAGTGAAATTTTCTTCTCCATAGTCTTGCTTTGAGACTTAAAGATGTACAATTAATTGCACATTACCTTGCAAGGTGATGATGTTTCTCTTTCTCTAATGATGTGATCTGACGTCATTAAATCTAGGTGGACACTGCATAAGAAAAGACCCATCTTCCTGAGCAGACATTTCCTATGTATTCTCCTAAGTAGTATTTCTGACCTCCTTTCACTCAGCTGGTCTGTTGCCTTTCAGGATTCTGCTGTCATCTGAAGTCAGTCACAAATGGAAAACATTTTAAAATCATGGAATTTTATGCAGAATGAAAAATTCAATTCCCACCTATTAGGATTGTCTAAATGCTGAATACAAAATAAACACATATTTTCAAATCGTTCTCTAGCAACCAATAAATCCTACACAGACTGAGAGAACTTATGTCACAAAAAAAGTAATTTATTTAGCTCAATTAGCTATTATTTTGGGGAATTAGATATCAAACATAAACAAGAATATATAGAATATTAATACACAAGGAATGATATTCATTAAAATACTGGGCATAAACATACAGTAGCGGATTTTTCTGAACAGTGGGCACAATGGCCAGCTGTATGTAAAAGGAATGTTTATATACTAAACTTTAGAAAGTTTTCACAACTAAGTGGTCAACTCATTAATGTGTTAGGGTTTTATTTTTAATTCCAAAGGAATCACTGATAAATTCTATACTTTTCTAAGGCCTTCCTTACAGCTGTCTGCATAAAAGATGTCCTCTCTGAATAGTTAGTCGAACTCTGGCTGCTCCAAAATTGATCCCTGAATGTTTGATCACTCTTTAGCACCAATTACTTTTTGGTCAATGAGTTGATTGCTGTTGTCATTGAAAGTCCATCACCCAATCGGAGAACAAGGAAAGACACCGTGCCCTTTTGGTGGGTGATTAAACTCCTGGGATAATGAAAAGGTGAAACAAACATTTTCTTGACAGCTCACAAAGGCAAACATTAAAAATGCAAATAATGACTAGCAAACCTATTGATAAAAATTGGCCTTAGTTTGGAAATAACAATCCCTTTTGATGAGGGACTAGAGTTGGAATTAGTATTGCAGATAATGGCCAGCCTGAACAAGCTTTTCTTAAATTCTTTTTTTATACGAGAGATTTGTATCTAACATGGAAGCAGGTGACTGCATTTACGTTTATAAATCCTGGCTATACAGTAACAGACTACGTATGTTGCCTAATCTCTACCCCTGTTCAAAAGAGCTCAAAAGCAGTTTATACAGACTCGCTCTTTCTGGCGAGACCCTCCAAAAGGCAGTGATGTGCTCGCTCTTTGTCGTGTTTTCCCATCCCTGCATTGTCACCCCTGCCCTCCTCTCCCGCGCTCCCATGCAGTAACAGGAATAAGGGCGTGAGTATTGCTGCGAGGGTTCCCAGCTGTGCTCTGAGGAGTTGCTGTACCACTAAAAAGGCCTGACCCGTAAAGGAGGAAGCCACTTGGATCACCTTGGTTAGGATTTCAAAACCCAAGGCCTGCAAGTGCTACTCCAAAATCCACACTAAATACTGCTGAATGAGTTGGCCTGTCAAGGGACTTCCTCCCAGACTTGGAGAGGACCTGGCACATGCCAAGCATCAGATCTCCATGGCCTGATGGTGAGCTAAAAATTCCACGCTTTTACGTCTCCCTTAACTCTGTGCTTACTCAAGGACTAAAGCTTCCCAAGGGCTGAAAGGTTTTGGGTACCTAGCTCTCCCTCTGCTTTGGTGGAATTTTGGGCATTGAAGCTTTAGGAGCTTGGAAACATATGAAATGCCCAGGATGCCACAGAATAGCCCATTTTCCATTAATGTGCATCAAAGGAAAAGGAAGAATCCCTTCTCAGTTGTCAAGAGGTGAAGAAAGAGGAAGAGTATTTTGTGCCCTCACATTAGGCTCATCTCCCTACCTCCCAAGCCCTGGCATTTCCGAAGAAATAACTCCAAAGTAAGTGAGCAGGGCGTTAATGGAGTCTGTTCCGTACTAAAGGAGAAGCTGTGTGATTGTTCCCTCTAGATCAGCAGCTCAGTAACGTAGGCCCCGGGAGGAAACTTTTGCAGGTTTGGGAGCACCAGTCGAGATCAAGGCTAGGAGCAGTGTCCTGGTTCTGTTGAAGCCTTTTACTCATTATCAGCTTTTTCCTATTCCCAATCAGAATTAAAAAAAGATCAAACCCTGGAAAATGTCCCCAGGCTATAAATATTCTTCCTCAAATCATTGTGGTTTAACTATGAATGTTTCCTTTGGATTATTTTGAAATGTTTGATTTCAAGCCCTTAAGAACTTTACTAAAAATAACGTAAGTTTTTAAAGACAATGTAATTTAGAAAAGGAATTAGAAAATATAGAAACCAAACCTTTTAATAACTACTTCTGAAGGGGAAAAAAGCAGAAAAAGTAATTTTAGCTTTTCCCTTGCTGTAGAAAAAAGGACCAGCTTTACTGAGTTAGTATTTTTCTGATGGGAAAAATAGCATTAAATTGACAAATTTTGTGGTCAGTGGTGTTTGTCTTCAGAAGCAGGCTGATGTGCATGGATCCTGCCACTAGTCCTTCTGAGGCTTGGGAAGAGGTTGATGTTTGCAACTGGACTTGTCACATTAGCATCAAAGACGAAATAATGTTTAGTACTGAAAATGCCCCAGGTGGAACTTCAGTCCCTTTAAACAGCAGGGCTGAACACTATGAAGGGTGTCTCTGGGATGTCACTTGTAGACCAGCTGTTTTTTCTATGATTACTTTCAACTACATTTTGTTTAAAAGTCTCATAGAAAAATAGAAGTTCATGAATGGAAATAAAAAAATAAGGACATTTGTATGATTTTTATAAATAAACAGCACAGCGAGAATTAAATAGAACACAGACAAAGGACATTTATACAGGCATGAACTATTACAGCTTGTTCTCCTCAAAGAGTATCTGTGCATAGACTGTCGTACTGGGAATGCCTTTGGCTTCCTGAATCGGCTTCATAAGTTCAAGTTCAGCGTATGTTAAATTCTCCTCTGTGATTTTTGGCTAGGAAACAGAACCAACAAATTACAGTTATAACGTTGTTACCACTGAATATAAAAGACACCTTAAATATTCTATAGAATGGGCTATATTTCTTCTCTCACATAGGCTAATTCTACAGTTGAGTCTGCACTAGAGTTAGTTCATAGAAGATGAAATAAAAGTAATATTAAAAATAAGAAACAGGAAAAAGTAGGATTTTCAGCTTTATTTCCAATTTCTTCTTGTTTCGCAAACACTGAATGCTTTAAGTTGACAATTTCAAATACCGTAAAGTTGAAAGATGTGTGTTAGCAAGATGTTCAGCCTCTTTAATGCTAAATTTCCCAATTTAATTTTTCTTGCTACAGATTTGACAATTTGAAATATATATGCCAGATTTGCTTCCCAGCTGTAAACCTTGGACCAGTTACATGTCTAATCACAGCCACTCAAAGTATTTCTCATTATGTTCCTGAAGAAAACCAAAAAAGTTGTTAAAAACATGCAGAAGGCAGCAAAAATAGATGGAATTTAGTTACTATCATTCCAACATTCACCACTTTCGACATATTATAGATGAGTTCAGAGCTTAGAACAGAGGCCACACCACCAAAATTGTCTGCTGTATTACCTTGGTTGAGTTTTAGACTTAAAACTATAAAAATTAGCTAAGAGACACACTATCAGGAAAACTTACTGAACAAATTTCATGTGGGTAACAGAAGAGCTGCCTAATGCTATAGGGGACTTTAACCAGACTCAGAGTGGTGGCTTAGAGGAGGAAAGTCTTGTCTTGTGTTCCTTTGCATGTGTTGGCTCATCAGTTGGGAGTGGGTTGTTCCTCTCAAATTCACCTCACAAAATGTAGCAACAAACAAAAGAGTTTCTGTTGAATTGTACATGGGGCCCTAGCACTTGAAATGGATTTCAGTTCATCTGTAGAAAATTAACGTCTGTGCTCCCTGAAGCAGGGTGAAGTGCTAAGGCCCTGTGCAAATGAAGAACTGGAGAATTTGTTCTGTTATCTTCTTGGGCACTGCGATGTACTTGAATATAACTGGTGTCCTCAAGTTTAAGGCTAAAAGGGACAATTAAAACAAACAAAAAACATTTCAGGCATGCAAATTCTCACAGTCAGTAAGACTATACCTTGTAGAAAAGTTTGCATCTCTGAGACCAAGAAAGGCTTTGCCAGTTGTAAACTGAAAACTGACTCAAAGTTCATAAACCAAGATTTTTGATACAGTATTTAAATGTTATAGTGAAGAAATTTACTATTTTCCGATGCCAAGAGTTTCCTTTGTGTTTTATTTACTGCTATTTGTTTTTTTCTGATTTGACATAAATGATTCCTATTTCCTTGAAATGTGTTTGAATAATTATTATACTGTCTTCTGGCTAAAAAGATAAATATCCTCTATCTAATATCCTCTGAAATCAGTCCATATGCTCCCCTGCTTCCTGTCTTTTGCACTGCTCTGGAATCCTCTCATTTTGCCTTGACAGTGGCTCATACTCTGGATTTCAGATTGTTTCTCTCTGAGTGGATCAGTTTACACTTTTCCAGCATTAATTTAATCTTTTTTCTTCTCTGCAGATCTGATCCTGAAATACTTTGTGCAGCTGCAGCTGCTGCAAGTGGTGTCATTGAAGTCGTTCTGTGCGTGTGAGTAAAGGCCATTTGCAGGGCTGACTGCAGGACTGTAATATTTGTATTTGATTATTCACATGGTCTTCCCTCCCTTTCCCTCTTGCATGGATAGTCCTATTTAATCTCAGCTTCTAGTCCTCGTTCACTATCACTGTATCACTATCACTAAGGCTCCACAGTTGACTACACAGGAGATTTCCTGCTTTTGTTGAGCTTTCTGCTGTAATGATGTACAAGGACTTCCCGTGGATCACAGCCTGATCTTATATGTAACAGAAATAAAATCACACATTACTTTTCTGTGTTCATGTATCAGGACTGAACCGAACCACAATGTTTAGAAAGACATCTGTCCTATCCCGGCTTTGGCTTAAAGTTAGAAAAAACTCTTGTTGGTCAAACCACCTCTGATACTTAATTAATTTTTATAGTCTCCTTTCTAGCCTGTGAGAGTATTAGCCTCAGTTTCTAGGCATTTAAGTTGGTTTTGCCTTTTTTGATATGTTAAAGACCCCTTTTGAGATTTCAAAACTATACGTGCCCACCTATTCAGTAAGTACTACAAAGGCTAAGTACAGGAGCTAAGTTGAGGCTGGACATCACAGTAACACCAGCAAACTTTGAAGATTTTATTCTCAGTGTACGATAGCACATCTAGGCTCTATTTGAAGATATTGAGAGTGTTGCTGCCAACTTCAGTAGGTGTCACCTCAGACCCTAAACACAGAAAGTTACACTGTGTTTAAAAGTGTTTCACTATGTGAAAAGCCTCCTAAAAACAAATCTGATAAAACTTAACAAACAAGCTTTTGGTGACTACCAGAGTAAAATTCCCCATTTCCTAACACTGACCCAGTGCACCTTTTGAAGTAGAAATATTTTCATTGTTCTGTAGAAATCAGTTGCTCAGGGCAAGCTAAATCTGTATATGCTTTCCCCTTTGCTGTTTAATTCTATTTTGTGCTATGTTTCCATTTAGAAAATGCCGCATGTCCTAAAATAGCCAACCCAACGCCCAGCTCATGTAAATTTTAGAACTAAGATTTATGAAATCATATTGTCCAGGTGTTTTATTATATTATCTCAAAATTGCATTGTTTTCCAGTGTAGATTATCTCTTTATTCTTACTTTATTCTATTATGTTTGGATATGAAAAATAACACTAGATTCCCCAAAACAGGTCATTGGGCAGTAGTGGCTGATGTGTTGCTTTCATACATTTTTATGATGTTCCTATAGTAAACATAATTTAATAAAGCCAAAACACACTAAATAAATAATTGCATCTAGAAAAGCAATAAAACCAAATAAAATTAGTACTTTCATAAGTGGAAAAGGTACTTCAATTACTGCTACAAGCAACAGCACACCATAAAATGTGTAGAATAATTTCCCTTATGCATATTTCTAGTATGTAATAATTTGATTGAAAATATGAGGAAACACACAGGAGGTTCAAAATTGTGAAGGGTATACAGTTTTCAGAAAAGGATGTGTAATAACAGTGCGTGGAAGCCAACGCTACTTTAAAGTACCTATGGTAGCCAGGGTTTTATTCCATACACTCTTCTGTACTTCATTTATCAACCACATGTTTAATTTAATTTTGCTGGTTTGTTTGTCCAAAAACAATTTTTTTTTTTTTAACAGGCAGGGAAAGAAAACTAATTCTATGATTTCATCTCTCATTTGGATTGGATAGTGCTTTGGCAGTGTAAACCTGGCATCCTGCCACCACCTCCCTTTTGGAATAGCGTGAGTTTAATAGCTGATGTTATAGGTGGGACTGAGATTAGGGCAGAAGAGGAAGACATAATGAATGACTGGCCATTCACCTCTCTCTTTCCATCCTGGCTCTTCAGTTAGGAGGTCATTGGGATTTCAATGGCTACAACAGCCTTTCATGAAAAATTACATAATTGTTCTAGAATAATATTGAAATTACTTCTTCAAATAGAATTCTGTTCCAAAGTGACATTTCTAGATACAATCTTCATCTTGGGATCACACACTTTGCAGAAATAAATTAGGAAGAGTGATCATTTTCCAGCATATCTTCTGGCAAATGCACAATGATTCCTCTTCCAGATTTCTTCCACTTCAATTTTAGTTTGCTCCAGTCACAGGGCTTCCCATGGGCAACTATTCAAAATAGATTACTTACAGGAATATTTTTTTAAATAAACAATCCCCAAAGTCTATCATGTGAATATTTAAAAGAAACTAAAGTACGTGTATACATAGTTTTGTTTTTATTGGGTTTGTCCAGTAGATAAATGTGTTAGAAATAACCTAGAAGTGTTGGATTTTTAATGACAATTACTCTGATTTTTACATCGTAATTACCAGTAATGTCAGTTTTGCTTTTCCTAGGCTTAGCTGGTTTGTTTCTTGGCAGCCTCAAGGATGTTTACTATGAGCACTGTAAGACTGAAAGTTCTGGACGTTTTAACTACAAATTTTTAATTTGTCTACAAATTAGTAGACAAAAACTAGGACCACTTTTATCCAAATTTGTAATTAGGTATGAAGAAAGCAAGCGAATAATAACCTCATGAATTTAACTTGTCTGGAAAAACCACTGCTGACAACTTTCACATACTGATTGCTGCCATCTCATTGTTCCATGACCACACTAGTTGTCATGAAGATTACAAAATGAATTTAAAATTTAAAATAAGAAAAAATCCCCTGATTCTAGTTTACTACCAAAAATAAGCGGGACAAGGCTCTCTCCCCAGTTCACTTCAACCTTAAATATTTTAGTGACTAGTGCTGCAGACATTTGCCTCAGAATTCAGTGTCTATATGATAACATGTGACAGAGTTTTTGTTTGGGATATGACACAGAATTACTTTAACACAGGACCAGGGCAAGAAAATTACATCTATAGACAAAATTGAATTTTCACCTCTGAGTTTTCTGGATTTAATAAGCATATGTCCCAAGTTCCAGTCAGAGCTTCACAATATATTTAGTAACTTAGATTTCCTGCAGCAACAGTTGAAAATGAAACCCCACGCTCACTGGCATGCCCTGTGCTTGTGGGTGAAGGGATTAGGACAGCAAGGATAAGACCTTGCCAGTTATGCATGTTTGCTGGTCTGATTGCCAGTACATGGCAAATTGCCACCTATGGACGGGCCACGCTCTGCTGTTGGGGGATGCTGTAGGAAATGCCGGTGGGAAAGGTATGGAGTCAAGAGCTGGTAGTGAGGAGTTGCACTTCTCTCCAGGTTACTCCACAGCACAAAGCAAGCAACCCTGCCCCGGTGCCGTGAAGTAGCTCTTTCTTAGCAAGCACAGGCTGGAACTACCATTTTTTTCCTCTCCCTTTCTCTCGCAAAGACCTTTGTCCTTTTTCCTTT